CGCGCTCTTGGGACCATAAATCTGCAGCTTCCCAGCTCTTGACTGTCCTCTTTCTCACGTCGCCCCATAACTTTATCAACCCATACTGGTTCCAGCGACTTGGCAAGATGAAGGTAGGTCCTCGTCTTCCCAACTGCTCCTGAGTGCACCCGCTGACAACGGCGCTACAGTTCCCACAGATCTACAATGTCTACGCCATTTGCGGCTTCGCCGCGCTTGGTGGTATCCTCTTCGGTTTCGACATCTCGTCGATGTCGGGTGCGCTGGGTACTCCCGCCTACAAGAACTACTTTGGCAACCCCAGCGGTACTCGCCAAGGTGGTATCACTGCGTCGATGCCTGCAGGTTCTCTCGTTGGTGCTCTATCTTCATCCTTCCTCGCCGATCGACTTTCGCGTAGGAACGCTGTACAAATCGCCGCACTCATTTGGATTGTTGGCGCTATTCTGCAGGCCGCCGCGAACGGCGTTGCGCTCCTCTGTGTTGGTCGTCTTATCGGCGGGTACGCCATCGGTATCTGTTCCGCCATTGTCCCCGTCTATCAAGCCGAGATTGCGCCCAAGGAAATCCGAGGTAGAGTGGTGTCGTTGCAACAATGGGTAGGTCACTCTCCAATAAAGCCTGGAACTCAAGCTGATTCTGCGTAGGCCATCACCTGGGGTATTTTGATCCAATACTTCATCCAATACGGCTGTTCCTTCGTCGATGGAGGCGTCAACAACCCGAACCAGAGCACTGCGGCCTTTAGGATCCCATGGGGTGTTCAAGCTGTCCCTGGCGCTATCCTCTTCATCGGATTCTTCTTCTTCCCTCGCTCTCCTCGATGGCTGGCCTCTAAGGATCGCTGGGAGGAGGCACTGCAGGTTCTCGCCAACCTTCACGGCGCTGGCAACGTCAACCACCCCAAGGTTCTCGCCGAATACAAGGAGATCGAAGAGGCGCTTGCCTTCGAGCGTGAGATTGCTGAGACTAGTTTCGCCGCCCTGGTCAAGCCTCGCATTGTCAAGCGTGTCATCCTTGGTATGTCCATCCAGATGTGGTCGCAACTTTGCGGTATGAACATCATGATGTACTACATCGTCTTCATCATGCGTGGAGCAGGTATCGCCGACGAGCTCCTTACTGCGTCGATTCAGTACATCATCAACGTCGCCATGACCCTACCAGCCATCCTCTACCTCGACAAGTTTGGCCGTCGCCCTGCTCTCCTTTGCGGATCCTTCATGATGGCTGTCTGGCTGTATACTACAGGTGCTCTGCAGGCTTCCTACGGTATTCCTAACCCAGATACCACCGACAAAGATATCTCCTGGGTGGTGCCTCGCGAGCACAGCGCCGTTTCCAAGGGTATTGTCGCTTGCTCATACCTCTTCGTGGCCACGTTCGCGACCACGTGGGGCCCAACGTCATGGACATATCCGTCCGAGGTAAGTTCTTACTGTAAGGGATGCATGTGAAACGTACACTGACTTGTTCTACCTCTGTAGATCTTCCCTGCCAAGGTTCGCGCGAAGGCCGTGTCGCTCGCTACCGCCGCCAATTGGAGCTGGAACTGCATTCTCGCTTTTGCGGTCCCCCCTCTTCTATGGTCCATCAACTGGAAGATGTACATGATCTTCGGAACTTTTAACGCCGTTGCCTTCATCCACATGTTCCTGACTGCCCCGGAAACTAAGGGCAAGACCCTTGAAGAGATGGACGACGTGTTCGACTCTGGTCTTCCTGCCTGGAAGGCTGGCAAGGTTGAGTCGCGTCTCGACCGTGTCACCCGCGACATTGAGGCCGGTAACCTCAAGGTCGGACGTCACGGCCATGACCACGGTCATGTCGAGAATGTCCACGCTGAGCCCAAGGTCTAAACGGACATGTTTCGCGACATCGTCGACGGAATGACGAGTACTGTATTTCGCCACCTTTGGTTCCTGGTCACTGGGACCAGATCGGCTTTCCAGCGGTTTGTTGGGTTGCATTCGGTTATAGAGTTACGACCATCGTCGATGACGTGGTTTACGACTCTTCTTGAGCGACATCAAGTTATCTAACACGGACAGCCACGTAGCATAGTCCATGAATCCATTCACTAATCTTCTATTCCCGCAATCGTACCTTACTATCCGGGTATAGAGTGTCAACAGCTTTCACTAATCACGGAAAGCCTACACATGTAGCTTAGTTGACTACAAATGATAGGTTCGGGCTACAAGTGCGAAGCGATTATAGTCCGTCTTGGAAGGTAAAAGAGCCGAAAAAGAGCCGCATTGTCTTGGTGATGCGATACTGCGTTTCGCGTCCATGCAGGGGCTGTGTGAACCAAATTCCATCGTTATCAGCGATTCCCATTGCGGATGCAGGATTGCGCAAGCCCAAGATGTCGCAACACCACGGCCAAGGATGTTGGCGATATTAAGGCGCACGGAACCGCCTCAGCGTGTTCAGCCGTCCACGGACCTCCTGCTCTCGACGAATGCTGAGGCAAGGTTATTGCAGGAACGAGAACCAGTGGTTCGCTGTTCAGCGCACGAGTGTGTCTGAAAACCTTCGTATGCGTTGCATATGCAAGAAACGACCAAAAGTTCTTCGCATGGACGCCTTATACCTGGTGATCCCTTCTGGAAATAACGCAGAACGGCACGGAGATGGGCGACAATCTACCCAGGGTTTATTTCCATCATGGGGGCGACCGACAGAGTTTCGCTTCGGCTGAGTCGCCGATTTGACGCGAAAGCGAAGAAACCACTCAGGTACAGGTGCAACCCAACTGGGCAGCAACGTAAGTTTAAACGTACGAGGGCATTGACTTGGTCGTTGGATTCCGACTGGTTGCTTTTTCGCTTAAACACGCTGATCCGATGTTATCGATGATGGGGAAGCAGAACCGGCGCCCCGTTGTGGAAATCCACGATCATGCCATGCGCCACTAGGTCCCCCGGGCCCAATCAACGATCACCAAGGACTAGCATTGGGGCTCGCAAATCCGCGCCCCCGTCGTGACCCCGTCTTCACCTGTATGGTTCATGACATGGCCAAGTGTACCACAAACGCCACGAACCCGTCAGGCACCCATGCATCGAGTCAGTCTCTGGGGTAGTGTCCGCAACGCCTTCTGCTGTCTTCGTCCCTCTCATGGTGAACCGTCTGCCACCACTGCAACCACACTGAATTATAGTTGCAACATGTTCGCTGATCAGCATCTTGCAGCATCTGCGTCGATCAGCAAGGCCACCAACACGCTCTTTGATTGAAATACCCCAGGATTCCACGTGGATATCGGATTCTCCAGTTCAGTTCGCCATCTTAACGAATGCGCTCTTTACCTCACCCTCATTCATCTCATTACTTTCGAAGTCGACGAAAAGACACCTGAATACCTTCACCATGTCGGACAAAGATTCAGAGTCCGGCGTCACTGGCGGCGTACAGGCCAGCATTCCTATCCTTATGACCATGTCTGCATTCCTCGCCATTGGAATGTACAACATGATTGAGATCCTCTTCCTCATCTTCGCCGTCTTCAAACAACGCCGCGGGTTGTACTTCTGGAGTATGCTCATCGCCGCAGGAGGAATCGCCCCTCACGCCATTGGGTTCATCCTCAAATTCTTCCAGGTCACGAAGCTTGACTTGCTGTCGAGCGCCATTATCGGCGTAGGCTGGGTCACCATGTGCCCGGGACAGTCTCTTGTACTGTATTCTCGACTGCATCTTGTTGTCGCGGACGCCAGGAAGATTAGATGGGTGCTCTACATGATCATCTTCACCACGATCGCTCTCGGCGTCCCTCTATTCACCTTCGCCATGGGCGCGAACTCCAAAGATTCCCTTAAGTTCCTCCCGGGATTCGAGATCTACGATAAGGTCCAGATTGTTGCTATTTCAGTTCAGGGTAAGTGTTTCCATCCGAGCCGCATGTGAGAAAGACACTGACTTTGTACGCCTGCAGAGATGGCCATATCGGTTATCTACATCTTCCGAACAGTAAAGATGCTCCGTGGAGATTGTGGTCGACGACGTGGATCTCTACGAAAGCTTTTCATTCACTTGATCATCGTCAATGTCGCAGTCCTGGCGTTCGACATCACGCTTATTGCAGTCCAATTCTCCGGCCACTACGAAATCCAAACCACATACAAGACGGCAATTTACAGCATCAAGCTCAAGATTGAGTTCTCTGTCCTCAACCGCCTTGTCAATCTTCTGCAACACAAGAACCTCTTCGGCGATGGCGCTACACGTTGCCATGATGTGGAAAGGTGGACGGACAACAAGAGGACGTACAGCTCGAGCAACCGTGGCGGATTCACAAAGATGGAGGAGAGTGGCTCCATGGCGAATAGCGACAAGCATTCTTCGGTCGTGACATGCCCGGCCAAGGCTAGCTTCCGCAGGACAGGGAAAGATGAGGTGGAGTTGGAATTGGAAGACATCATGGATGATGCCACGTTGTACTCGGAGGGCAGCAAGAGCCGAAATAACTCGGGCTGCCAGGGCGATTGTCGCAGTCAGTGTTGATACCCAGGTAGTGTACCGTAGAGGCAACCGCTTACTATATGACGAATTAAATAACGACATGATATACCCCAAAACACGCTCACTATGCGATTGACTGTTGCTGCGATGTGCATTTTGTGATCAAGTCATGATGCACCAAAGACAGAAGCATTACCTGTCGACCAACGAATCTTTATAACACTGGCTCTATGACACACCCATGCCGCAATATCGCCTTAGCAGCCCAGTCTTACCTGACACCAGGTGAGGTTGTCTCTCACTGCTCACTGCCCACAGCCACGTTTTATCGCCACTCTCGTTGGCTAACCTATTACAAGTCCGTCGTATATACAAGCTGTCTATTGCGGTAGAGGCTTTTTCCATCCCCCACCTACCTGCTCGTACCAAAAGTCGATCCTTTCAGTAGCATACACACAAACGCAAATCAAAAGTTCAAAATGGGCGTCACCACGCAGCACCCAGCCACTCTACAGCCTGCGCAACCTCCACCAATGGCAGCCCCACAGAAGGTCACTTACTCCGACATGTTCCTCGATATGTAAGCAGGTGATGTCGCAGTCTGAAGCGACTCCTCTAATGCCAAGAAAGGATTCAGGGCAGCTCCATCACAGTCATCGTCGGTCAGCATCCATCATCTCGAACCTACACTCTTCCTGTCGCTCTACTCTGCGTTCACTCCATCTACTTCCGCGATCAAATCGCTCGTATCAACGCCACGGTGTTGAAGGATCATACGGCTAGCAAAAAGCGCAAACTCTCCACTTCCAACGATGACGTGGTGGTGATCAAGGAAGAGGATGGAGAGCGTGCCAAGGAAGAAGACACGAAGGAGGACGCAAAGAACGAAGAAAAAACCATCAGGTTGCCAGACGTCGATCCCGCCATCTTCGGCCTCTTCCTCAAGTTCATCTACAAGGACACATACCCATCTAACGTCGACGCGAGGACTCTCCCCAACAACGCCAATCTTTACCCGAGGACAGCCAGCGCAAACAGGACAGTTTCCGTTCCAGCACCTCCCGTAGCACCTCAGCAACCAACGACTCAGATGCCGTCTCACTTCCAGCCCAACTACCCGCTCACCCCCGCTCTAACCCCAACCCGAAAAAGCATGCCACCCCCTCCCATCCCACACAACATAACCTCCCCGCAACGCATCCCCCCCTCAATCCACGCCTGGCTCCTCGCTCAACGCCTCGGCGCCTTGTCCTTCATGAACCACACCATCCAACACATATACTCCGGTATAGGCCGTCACTTCGCCCTCACACCCACGCTCATCGACCACGTATGGCGCTCCACCACTCCCACACCCTCCTCATCTCCCTCTCCCCTATCACCATCAACATCCACGATTCTAACACCCTCCCCCCTCCGCAACCTCCTCCTCCACACCCTAACGTCATACTGGTCGCAGCCGGGCCCGCAACAGAACCCCAACGCTATTATCTTGCGCTCGCTATCTGTGTCGCACGGACAAGGTCATTTTTCGACGGGTTTGAAGGATGCGTGGGATAGGCTGTTTAATGAGCATGAGGATTTGAGGAATGAGTTTATTCATGGGTTGCAGGCGGGTGTGGGGCAGTTGGGGGTTGTGGGGGTGTATTTCGCTACTTCGGGGACTGTGGTTGTGGGAACTGGAGGTGTGGGTGGGGGTGTGGGTAGGAGCGAGGCTATGAAGGGGAAGGAGAAGGAGAAAGGTGAGGGTGTTGGATGGGTGGATACGGGCAGGGAGGTTATCATCAAGGAGGAGGAAAGTGGTGAGACGAAGGTTTTGAATGAGACGAAGGCGGCTCGTGTCTAAGGGGGTGCTCCCTTTTTGCTGATGAATGTCTTCTGGGACGACACGAAAAGTTTGGTGGGCGGATTCGGTGTCAAAAGCGTACAAAAGCGAACGGCTTAGGCCAACTATGATTTTTGGGCAAGGAAAAGTCGGCGTATCGATCATAGAGTCATTACTCCATCATACCTTATGTACGGTGATCGTCGGGTATTTACATCGTTTGCTCAGTTCCTCGGCTCCTCATCTGCTCATTACTTTTACACGCCCCTTGGTATCATTACATCCGTTTCCAATCCAATCTTTCAATATACACGTCGCAAACACCACGGATGTACGACCCTTAACGAGTCCAAACACCAGCAACACGTTCCTGCCACTCATGCTCCATATCCTCTGCGCACTGCTTGCAGACTCCCATACGGCAAACATGAATGTCGCACTCCCAGAGCTCTTCTTTGACATCTTCGTTGCAACGGTCGCAGAAAACAGGCACAGAGACATGCTGTTTGTAGCCCACAGCGGTATGTAGATACGGTCGAACTTCCAGGCTGTTGATGGCGACCTCGTCGGGTACAGTCTTGAGGTTGATGGGGTGGAAGATGTGGCCGTTCTTGAGACAGTAGTGCTCTTTGGATGACCTGGGCGGAAGGGGAGGTGTAGCGTGATCTTCTTTGGGAAATGGGGCAGGAGGGATTTGCTGGTCGGCAAGTACATCGAGGTCGAGACGTTCGGATAGAGGGCGTTGTTTGGTGTGGTCGTAGTCAGACATCCAGTCTTGGACAAGAAGACGTGACTCGTCGCGGGGAAGCTTCACTCTCTTGTCCTTGTCGAGGCGATTGAACTCGCTAGCGGAAAGAGGGCCACGCATTACGGTAGGCTGGACTTTGTTAGTTGCATCTGTAATAGTTGAGAGATACTTACGCACCTCCACATGCTCACTGCGCTCATTGAATGGACTGATCTTTTCGTCATGTTGAAAGTAGTAGGTAGGTTTGAAGGGGGCCTTGAGCTGACTAGATAGGGCTAGCAGGGGCAGTGGGTTGGGTGGGGCAACCGGTGCGACTCGTGTGGGTGGTGCAGGCGGTGCCAGCGGTACAACTGGTCTCTTCCTCCTAGGCGGAATGTCGACAAGCTTGACCATACCGGGTGTGACCCGCATGAAGGGTACGGCCGTGGCGACCTGGAAGGTGGGCTCTTCGTTCAAGTCATCCTCGTCGTCGCTGTCAACCTGGCTATCCGCACCACCGCAGAGCTCACACTCTCCTGGAGCGGCGTGACAACGCTGTGCGGCTGCAAAGTCTGCTTTCATGGCTTCGTTAGACGCCTTCAGGGTAGCGTATGTGTTGTCGAGAGTGATTCGATCATCGTCGTTTTGGTCTAGCACAGCCTTGCTAAGTGCTAGTCGCGTCTCTGCCTCGTCAAGCAAACGGTCTTCAACCGTTTGCAGTGGGCCGCGGAGGCGGAACACTGTAGATTGCAGAATTGCGCCATTTTTGACGTCAACCTCGTTACCAGGATGGGCCGCGAAGTCTTCTTGCTTGTCGTGAGCCGCCTCATCAATGACATCGTCTGTGATTGAGAGGTCGTCCTCTTCCAACTCGTACCTGACATCTGTTGTGAGCAGTGACTCAATACGCGACCGAGATAGCAGTGCCTTGGAAGGAGATTTTGCGTACTCAGAGATATCGTTCAGCTCAGGATCATGTTCGCCGATTTTGTAGGAAGTGCGAAGCTCATCGTGCGACGTCTCTGTAATGGGTGCCATCCTCTCGAGCTCTTTAGGAAGCTTCTTGCGCATACGTCTTCTCGGAGCTTCGGGAACAACGGGCGGAACTGGTGGGAGCGAACGGAACTGGCCATGGCGTTCGGCGTCGCTACTACGGTATGTATCAGTATGTTCTTCTGGACGCCACGCTAGAGAAACAGCTGCGACGCGCCCCATGTCGGCTTCACGGCTAGCATTAGATGGTGCAGATGGGAGTAAGCCTAACATTCGCTGAGCTTTCCGGTTAGTGTTGCCCCAGAAGCCCTTGGGCTTTGATGGCTCCATGTCAAGGCCCTCTTCCGTGAATCTCGTCTGTCTGTCCGACGCGCTCTTCTGAGTGGTTATTGCCGACATAGAGCCTCGCCTTGTCGATATCGGGCGTATCGGTAGGCTATCGTAGCCGCCATCGTTCTGGGCTGGACGGCCTACAGAGGTACTCCGGGGTCTACCAGGGCTAGGTCCAGGGTCCACGCCCAGCAACTGTGCAGCCTTGATAGGCGTCAACGGCGGTAGAGGCGACAGCTGGGGAGTGGGCTCATGGGAGCTGCTTGGGCGGTCTTGATCCTTTGACTTGAAGCCGAATTTGCCATGCCTCTTCTTGCCATCCGTGGCTGCTGTTGATGCGCTTCCTGTTGTGGGTGTTGGCGAATGGGCGGCCGGCATAGTCGAAAAGCCATCGGATGGGCGCGCTGGGAGAGGGCGATGACGGTCGCCTGGAGGGCCACTGTTGTGTACGTAGGAGTTGACCATAGGATTCGAGGGCGCAGAAGGAGGTGAAACATGAGAATGTTCAACTTGATCCGTATGCTGTGCTGCGGTGACACCACTCGCATTCTCCCTCCCGGCGAGTGAGTCAAGACCGAGATTGGGCGTAGTGTTGGAGCGCGGTGCATTGGAACGGCGCGTGTTGCGGCGTCTCTGACCACCAACCATCACGGCGGCAGGGCGCATGCTCCACGCGGGGTTGGCGGAATCAGGTACGACCATTGTCCCAAAGGAGGTATATTTTCGTGTACTGTAGGGTAATACCGATTGGCGGTGGTGCAGGTGCGCGATTCGAGTGCGACGAGGCAATCAAACCAGAGGGAAATCAGCGACCCAGACCAAAGAAGACGTGCGACGCCTATCGGTGCATTGGGAAATCGCAATCGGGTTGCGGTTGTGGAATGTGGTGATCCACTCAAGTGGTGACTCGACCACAACAAACCGAGCTTGGAGCTCTGTCCACCAACAAACGGAGCGTGTTGCCGCACAATAGCGGCAGTGAATGAGGAAGGCGCGGCATAAAGATGACGTAGGCGAGGAGAAACTCGAGACCAGCGAGTAAAGAATGAAATGAGAGAACCAGTCGCTTCCGATATGTTTACTACGTACGGTGACGCCTGTTGAAGAGACACGAATGTGGGAAGGAGCATGTAGCGACGGAAAGAACGACCCCGAAGAAGAGAATTATAGAGTAAATAGAGTTAAACGACGCTACGAGAAAAAGAAGACCTTTGCTCCTACAAACCATGTAATAAGATCTGGGGGTATCTTTGTGTACGCGATTGTGCTACGATCCATGACTTCGCTCGTGTAGCATCCGTCTCTGTGCACTGATCTCAAACCCAACGTCACGTAACACCCACTGCACCCGAGACCGAAAACGCTTGACTGACCCTCACATGAAGTCGAAGAATAGACGAGGGAAATTCTCTGGACCTGTGCTACACGCTGGAAACGCGGATGTTGTCTCGACGTCGCAACTTCGAACTCCTGCGTCTAAGGCCTGCCATCGCTTGTCTGAACCACCGACGAACTCTATGCTACGAGCCCGCTGTATGTTTGTCGCTCTTGGGGCTGCTGAGCCTCGCGACCTGCTCAGTGACAGTGCTCCCACTTCTTGCTCTCCCGGCCTCTGGCGACGCAGGAATATCGATAGAACTCCTCAACCCAACTCCGCTGATCCTACCAGCAGGTGTCACCGGTCTTGCTTCCTCAGAAGCCTTGGGTGGTTCGCCAGTCGACTCCATTGAATCCGGTTCGCGGGTCAATATAGCTGACTTCGATGACTTGCTGCTGGGACTTGCGCCAAGACCTCGGTGAACCTCAAGTGTGCTGGACCCATGGAGAAAGTCGGAAATGTCTGCATCGCTTGTGCCCTTGCCATCAGGTGTCTTTGGTGGACCCCCCGAAGGACTTCGCGGGCTTCTGGGCATATTAGGCTGGAAGAATTTCTGTACGGCATTGCGGTCATCCACTTCATCCTCCTCGTCACTAGTCTCCCCGAAGTAAATGCTGTCCCAATCGCCCGAACCCACACTACGGGTCGAGTCGGTCGTATTCGATCTTTTGGGTATCCTTAGACTGGGCGGCTTGAGCGGGGCTAGTTCGTCGGCGACTTCCCTCATCTCGCTATCAGTGCGCTCGATAGGCGGCTGCAGTCGCTCCTGTCCCTTGACATGTTCGCCGTCTTCGGTAATGGGCTTGTTCACGGCTTGTGCACGATCAAGGGCGGGCTCCTCTTCATCTCGCGTATTTGCCGAGTAAGTGTCTGCGAAGTGCGTATCGCAAAGGTGCTTGACGACAGGCCAACCATAAGCATTAGCAAACATACGACGTACGATCATGTTGTTATGAGCGTCGGGCTCAAGGCTGACGAGAACCTTGCGCCAAGAAAGGTCCTTATGATAAGCACGAGCGATCTTCTCTTCCACGCGCATCACACTCTCGTCGACACTTGTTGTCGATGCCTTTGAAACAGTACTATCACCAGAAAAGTTGCGCACTGGCTTCGTTTTCGTAGGTGGTGGAGGAATGTCTTCAGGATGGTAGATTCTGTCGTGGAAGATGGTGCGTGCTCGTGTGGACGGGTCTATGATCCAGGACTGGGGAGGAACAGGAGGGTTGATAAGGTCACCAGCAGACTCGAAGATGGTGGTTTTGGGTGGTGCTAGGTGGCTCTTGGGATTATCGACGATTGAGTCTCCACGGGTGGCTTGGGGTCGTTTCCTTGGTTGTGCGCTATGTGACGATGTCGCGTGATCTGCTTCAGCCGGAGAAAGCTCGTCTTCTTCGTCTTTCCCAATAGTCTGACTACGACTAAACATTTTCTTGTCGCGCGAAGTGTGCTTTCCAGTCGGCCTGATATAGCTCCACCACTGCATCAGTGTATTTTGCGGCTGGAAATACTGATCGTTCGGCTCCTTGGCTTCGGGACTCTTTTTACCTCCTTCGATGGCCTGATGGGCTGTTGGCTCTGCAGTAGACACTTGTGCTTCGTCTTCCTGGTTTGTAACGTCGGCGCCCGGCAGAGGTACCGTGGTGTCGTTGCCATTGTAGGTTGGCGATTCGACCCCAGATCCTTCATCGTCCGAGAAGCCAATTCTAGAGGGGTTGGGGGAAGAGTTCTGTCCAGTGATCTGGCCGTAACCCCATACCGCCACTGTGCCGATGAGACCGTTCTCTCTACGAGCCTTCTCAACCCGACCCAAGCCTCTCCAGTCCAAGAACAGAAGACAACTCGTGCGCAATGGTACTATACCATCATTGACAACATTGGAGTACAAAGTACGGTTTCGAAATCTTCGCAGGACTTGGTGCGCTGGGCCAGTAGGCAAGATGCGCAGCAGAGGCTTTGCGCCGGGATCTTCCTGATGCTGATCCTGCGTCTGGTTACCAAACACGTTACCCATAGCCGTCCAGCCGCTCTTTGCCAATGTCGGTGCTCTCCAAGTAAGACCGAGATCCTGGCCTGTCCTTCCCACTAGGCCAAAGTCCAGGGCAAATTTCACGTAGGTGGGGTTCTCATTGCTCAGTCCTAAGAATGGAGACGCCATAGCGATGAAGTTGATGGGCTTAATTGTGTCGAAGAAGTTGGGAGAATGCTTGTGGATGTATGCGATTGCGTACGTCTGTACCAGTCCTCCGAGAGAGTGGCCGATGAAGCTGATGCTCGTGAATTTGTACGCGCGCTTGTCATGTCCTGGGGATGTGTGCATCACACTGCTACCGTGATGGGACGGTATGCCTTCGTCTGGCTTGTCTTTCGTTGGCGAAAATGTATTGGACAACTTCTGCCCCATGGACTTCTTGATCGGGAGGTATGGTTGATCAGGGTAGGTCAGGTTCAACACGTACTTAGCGAGCCGCTTCCCGAGATACTGGATACCGCGTTCTGTACGTATTACGTTGCCGTCGAAACCTCGAACAATCACATCTTCTTCATCGTCATCCTCCTCGTCATCTGGTATGTCCTCTTGGCCGCCTGACAGTGGTGCTGTCGACGCATCTTGATCCGATCCGGTCTTCTTGGCTCCTCTTTCCTCTCTTCGCCGCCGTCTTCGGTCTTCCCGCGCTTGCTTTGCCGTCGCATCAATGCTCTCTTTCAGATATAGCATGTCCGCGCCGAGATTGCTGTGTAGACCATGCGTTACTATCACAAGGTGTATGTTCTTCTTCTTCTGTCGGTTCTCCGTCGGACTGCTATGATCTTTCGATTTTCTTGGAGAGGCCTCTTCCTCCTCTTTCCACTCTGGTAGCTCCGGTGTATTCCATAAGCTCGTAGTGTCATCAACCACTAGTTTGACCGCCTTTGAATACACCCCCTTAGGCTGTGCCGGATGGTGCGAAACGTGTTTCTGGCTGCCCTGTTGGTGGTCTTGCACCTTTCCTGGCGTTCCATGGCTATTGCCAGTGACAGCAGTAAAGCCTAGGTCCAGCGATCGTTCGTCGCGTGCCACCAACAACTCGTAGTTTACAGACGCGGAATTGGAGAAGATGATTTGCGACGCGATCTCGATGATCCATGTGAGGCTTTTCGGGGTGCCGTCATCCTCCCTGATATCGCTTCTGTACTGTTCCGGAACAGTCAACTTGGTGTTCCAGTATCCACCAGCCTTGACATTAGGCTCAAAGTCAGGCTCGCCGTATGTTGCGTCGGACTTTTTGTTCGGGTTGAATGTTGAAGGGTAGGCGGATACGTGAATCGTGTATGGCCCGTGGAGGTATGCGGCGCGTAGAGGGATGGCGGAAGAGTTTCGTATGCGAACGTGGAGGGAGGAAGGAGGCGGTAATATGCGGTCTTCGGAGGGTGTGTATGTGAGCGTGTATCTGCATGGCGACTTAGTAATCCGTCCTACAATCTCCCTGAACATTGTCGCGCACTGCCCATCTCGTATAGACAGTGCGTACAGCGTCCATGCCATCCCGCCGGCAGACCCTGAGAACTCACCTCACAACCTCTCCCACCTTGACGCTCCCCTTTTGATGCAACAGCAACATCTTCAGCGCGCGCTTTTCCTCAGCTTCGCGTTCCTTCCGCGACTTGACACACACAAAGTACGAGGGTTCAGGGCGTTTGCGGCCCGTGTCGGCGATGTGAGCGAGGGAGTAGGTGCGAGGCGTGAGCAGCATTTAGCGGATCCAGCGGAGACCGGTACGACCAATGGACAACAGCCACAGGCGCGTCATAGGACATGAGTAGTTGTGGCTGATCGCTCCGTACGAAATAAATATGGAGCACAGCGAACGTCGCGATGGCCGGAAGGTGATGATGTATGTTGCGGACTGCGTAGTTTAGTTACCTGGTGATGGGTCACGCACGCGCTCGTCGGAGATCGTCGCACGTCATTGCTCGCGTGGCAGGCGCGCTGCACGAGGGAGCTGGCAGGTGTATCCCGACCAAGATCGATCTGCGTGGTTTCACCATCTTGACAGGCTTACAGAAGCTTGACGGATATGTCAGATGCACCATCAGATAAGCGATGATTTGTTGGGCGTGTTTTACGCGTTCTCGGGTTCCAAGACACGCCCTGCGCCTTCGTCGGAACACTCCTCGGCCAATTCCGACCTCATTCCTCCAGCCTCTTTCTTTCCACACCTTCGTCACGACTCATCCGCGTCAAGCGTACAACACGTCGAGAGACCGCAGGCTTCCTTTTTGTCAAAAATTCTGTCAGATCTGAGTAACATGTATACCTCATCATGCTTTCAGATCGACGCGGTACCCTGCATGAGGACGTCTGTAGACCCTCAGGTACTTATTAGCGCAGACACGTATTCGGCATTTTACTTTTTAGATCATCGCAGTACATGCCCTACGTATGCCTGGAGATCCTCAGGTACTTTTCAGGTCACGAAGTAATCACAAAGATGACGCGTGGAGAACTTCAACAAGCTATCACGGAGTTGGACGCAGTCTGAGTACACATTCTTCTCACCAACATCATCGTTTTAGGTTCTACTTCAGATCGGAAACCAATTGTATAATTTCAAGGTCTATCTCAAAAGGTCTAGGGGTATTCGCATTATCATCCCAAACGCCTTGCTAAATCGATCCCGAATGCAAGACTCCTTTCACCGACCAAGACTCCAGAAAGCAAATACGAAGGAAAGTGTAGTGCTCTCCTCCTTTTTCAAGCCGCTCCAGCGCCGGGAGATCCACTGCCTGGAGAGCTAGCTGGACCCTTGCCCTTTCCGAAGGAGGGTGACGTCGGTGACTGTGGTGATCCTTGATCTCGTCCGGAGCCAGCTGAGCCGCGACCTCGAGGAGTGTTGGACCCGCGACCAGCTGATTCACAGCCAGATCCTAGCTGACCGCCAGAGCTAGGGCCTCGTGGAGTTGAAGGACTGCCGCGATCGCGACCGCCAGAGAGAGGAGAGGTAGCTAGGTTTTCACGTGTGCCTTACAAGTATTAGCTCAGTCTCAAGAGAGATGTAACGTGGTTGCTACTTACTCCTCGAGGGAGTCGAAGGAGGCTGTTCGGCACGGTCGAAGACAGCATCTCCTGCGAACTCATACTCCTCTTCGGCATCTGTGATGTGTCAGCGTCCAAATTCTCTCTCGTCAGCATGTATTTCACTAACCTTCACCCAGATCCTCTCCAGGCAAGCGATCACCCCTCACAAGAGAAGCATGTTCCTCCATCTGGATTTCCCAGTACTGGTGAGCAAAAGCGCCGAACTTGGGACGACCAGGTTGGTTGTACTGGAACTTGACTCGGCGACCAGTAGGTGGGTCGAATACACGGTAGCCCGAGTCATAGAACTGGAGAGCATCGCCCATGTTGCAGCGTACATAGTCTTTGCCTTGGAGTATAATGAAGCTCCTGGCGTTCTTGTCGCTGCCAGCAACCCATGTAGCCTTGTCAAGGGAGGACCCGTCACCGCCGTCGTTTGCACCTTGAGGTAGGGCGGTAGGTCCGTACTGAGGTGGATTGGACATGTCGGCTTGTAAGTGTAGTGTCTGAGTTGTGTTGAGGGTGTGAGAGTTGTATATAGTAGTCGACTCGAAGGTATGGTATGAGAGTGGTGTTTGAGGTTTCAAAGAGATATATAGTAGTCGAAGTGTACTGTCTATATCGAAGGATTGTTGATCAAGAAAAGAGTCAAAGAGAAACCAGATCAGCGGTTTATATGGACACCCCGGATCCCAAGACAGGAGCCCAAGACCGTTTGCTTCAGGCGTCAGGTGCATTATGGCGCGATTATTCTCGTCTCTCACTTAGCAAAAGTGCCTCAATGAAAGGTCTGGAGGCGCGGTGAAAGAGCGCTGCAAACAGCCTTCATTTAGCGAAGGAGCGATGACGGCATCAATTACTGGCGGAAGAGGAGCGGCGAGGGAGCGGAAAGATGTCGGAGAAAGGAGCGGTGGTGGTGCGCCCCTGACATGATCTCGACACCGCCTATGTGGAAGAGATGGAGTGAAGGGTGTGAGCTGATATATTGAAGAGCCTCCGCTGCGACTTCATATATAGAATTCAGCGCTTGCTTCTGGTGGGCGCATGGCTCAAGCAAGCAGTTTCCTCCAAGTCGCGCCTATGACAATCGTCTTGAGCAAGCTCGACGATGCCCTCAGTTCCACATCGCTACGCAAACGACGGCAATTTAGTCTGTCGCACGATCATTCTATTGTAAAGCAATTCAGCGTCAGAAGACTAGGCGGACATTCATCGATTTGAGGTATAGGGCATTACGGTTACATTGCATGATGCCACATAGCATTGAGACTCGTTGAGCGTACAAGAGCTCAAACTTTCCTACTCAGAAAATAGACTCTCAAGAATCATACCGTATGCCTCCGCCGCCTGCACGAGTTCCTCTTGACTCAACATCTCATCCGGCGTATGCGCAACCTCGATCGTACCTGTACCAAACAGATACTTCTTATCCACTTGCGGCAAGCTGGGAATATCCGTTCCAAAGAACACAGGTGCGACCTCCAGGCCCTCAACGTCCGTGTCGAGGATGACTGCGGGGTACCTAGCGTTCGAGAAAACTACCTCGAAAGTAGCATTCTCCTCCTTTGCGCGCGTTTCGAAAGGCGACAGCATCCCAGCGATCATGTCTTGCACAAGGTCGACTGCGTCATCTTCGCTGCGAGCTATACGAACGGCGATACTTGCGTTAGCATGGTCGGGAACGACATTGCTAGCGACTCCACCCGCAACAAGTCCAGCGTTGAGGGTTGTTGCGCCTAGTAGCTCACTTCTCGGTAGAGCCGGTTCGAGCATGTTCAGTCCAACAATGGCTTCGGCAAGATAATTGATGGCGCTTACACCGAGCCATGGATATGCAGAGTGGGAAGATCGGCCTGTGATGTCCAAACTCACACCCAGGTATCCTTTGTGTCCGCTAGCTAGCTTACCTTCCGTTGGTTCGCCGAAAATACCTGCGCGGAAAGTAGTGTTGGAAGCGTACTCGGCGAAGGCTCTCATTCCGACGCCGCCAGTCTCTTCTGCGACAACGAATAGCATGCCTAGACTGGGCGTATCGGTTCTGGATTGGAAGAGCTTGTGGGATGCGATGATCATGGTTGCTACAGGGCCCTTTGCGTCGACCGAGCCACGACCGAAGTGATAGACTGTGCCGTTCTCTTCCTTGCGCTCGAATGGGTAGAATGGTGGCACCTAATTTTATCTCAGACGTTGTTGTTGGAGCATGTCTCGGGTCGAATATACTTACAGTGTCGATATGACTAGTGATCAGAACTTCCGGCCAAACTCCCTCATCTTTGAGCTCTTGGGGATAAGCGAAGACGTTGAAAGTGCCAGTGTCTCCAGCAGGGACCTCTTCGACGTAGTACCCCAAGTCCGAGAGATATTTTGATATAAACTCCGCGCATTCAACTTCATCCCCAGAGATTGAGGGGATATTGACTAGCTCTTCATGAAGACTGTACAGATCTTCCGTCTCCTCAGTAGTAAGAGTCGCTGAACTTGACCCGGATGGACTGGGAGAGCTCACAGCCGATGGTGACACTGAAGCTCGCGGTGCTGCTATAGCCAAGCCCAGGGATGCCAGAGCTGCCAGAGTTTTGATGACGACCATCATGGCGTTTAGTATGAGTGTTGGCACTTCGAGTATGTTTCCACTACTTGTGAACTGGGGGCATACCCCATTCTTATACCTCCAGTATAGCCTTGAGACCTCGGAAGTTGAACTCCAATCCGCGATGAGGCAATCCGCCTTAGTCAGGACCCACGCTGAATTAACGCTCGAGACGACAGGGTCTAACGCGAGGTATGGATACTTGAAGGTTGGCGTACGTCGTTCGGCATCTGAGTTCCTCGCTTCGAGGTTTGCGGAGCGTTCTATCCTGGCGTGGCCAAGAAGCCATATCTCCTAGAGATATAGTGAAGACGTTTTACTGGAGTGTCGACGGACTACAAGCATAAGCCAAGAACATCGTTGCAAACTAACGCATCTAGCTTGATATGATGGAAGAAGATAGCTGGTTTACGTAACCCTTGCCGCATTCTATTGTTCACGATAGCTTCTTCTTCCGTGGTTTGGAGAAGAACGGGATGATGTCAACCGCGACAACGGCCGCAAACGCGGGGTGCGGAGCTGTTATCGAGCGCAGGGCTCTGATAAGCGGTATCTTGGCGCCATGGCAGCATAGGAAGCGTCTTGGTAGTCTCCCCGGCCTGCCATTCCGGATGTTTGTAAGGCGAGTGTTGTAAAAGCGGTACAAGTATCAGACGTGGGCGCGTCAAACAGTGGATGAGCGCAACCGGGCTCCGAGCGCTGTCAGATATGTAGATGAGCTGATCCTTCGCTAACCTCGTGCATCTGTTTTATCCAATCTTCGAAAAAGGAAGTATGCAGTAGCTGCACCGTGCAGTCGCGTGGGAAGGAACGGTATCGTGATGACGCTATCGCCGTTAATGGGAGCTATCGCTTTGCATCAAGGTACAAGAACGTGGCTGAGAACACCCAAGTGGAGGGTATCGAAGCAGAACGAAGCGCTGATGAGTATAGGGGAGTATGAAGAGATGGAAGGCCAGGAAGAATCGACATGTTGAAGTGGTGGTGGTGGTAGCTGCCATGATTGGGCCGACACGCGTTCGCGACGTGAGTTCGATGGGGAAGTCGCGACCGCAACTACCGCCAACAACAATGGGAACCCACGTATAGCTAGTCAGTGTGAGAGTCTAATGTCCCTGATTACAATTCCTAGCATCGCGATCCATTAGACTCTCTTTGCAGCAGCTGACGTTCGGGAGCTCACACACAAAGGACCGAAAGTGGATAGCGCGCCGCCCTTGACCGCCGACTGACGACTGACGTACATCGGATGGATCATCAGCCTGAGCCACTCCACATCTCCGCCCGCGTATCCGTGAGGCTTGAGCTTTCGCTACCTGTAGGTCCTGGTCCCGCATCTCTCACCTAAACACCTACACCCAAAGAAGACGCCCAACGACTGCAATCATGTTCGGCTTTGTCGCCGACGGTTTGACGTAAGTATTACCCCGCCCCCGCCTGTAGCTGCCAATTCTCCAACAAACTTTGGGGCCTGATGAGGTATCGTGAGCTCGCCGCTTGCTGTCTTGGAGCTCGCATGACTACGATATGCAGTATTTTCTTTTTGCTGCGATGTATTCGCAAAGAACCTAGCTAATACGCCGATAGCGTTGCAACCACCGTCTTCTTCCCTATCTTCGCCTCCTACAAAGCTCTTCACACCTCCGACCCAGCCCTCCTCGCACCCTGGCTGATCTACTTCGTCGTCCTCTCTGCCTTCACCGCCGTAGAGAACACCTTCGACTTCATCCTCAGCTGGGTGCCGTTCTACTCATGGATTCGATTCTTCGCACATCTTTACTTGATCCTACCTGGTTCGCAGGGCGCAAACTACCTGTACCAGGAGTACATGGAGCCTTTCCTATACCACCATGAGCGAGAGATCGACGAGTTTATTACACAAAGCCATGACCGTGCTAAATCGGCAGGCATGGCATACGTCGAGATGGGCATCGAGTGGGTCAAGGTCAACGTCTTGGGTTTCGCACCCGGAAAGCCGCAGGCGCCCAGACCAGAAGGGCAGACGTACGCACAAAACCTCATGAGCAGGTTCCAGATGCCTTCGGCGAGGGGCAGCAACGATCTATACGGACTTGTCAACCAAGCACTCAGCGGAGCCAGCGCACTTTACGGTGCCGGCAGCGCAGGCACTCGAGATGCGCAAGCCTCAGATCTGAGCCGCGGCGCCGGGAACCTCGTCCCAGACTCCATCCGCAACAACAACGACCGACTCGATTACGTTGCGTCACAACGCCAGCGCCTCGAGACCCTCCTGCAAGCATTCGACCGCGAACAAGAAAACATCCGCACACAACAAACAGGCGGAAGCAGATACCACGAAGTCAACAGGAGTACTGGAAGCCTCTCTGGTAGCCTCTCCCGTAACAGAAGCGAAGCGGAATTCGACAGGATCGAGCGCGACGAACTGAGCTCGGGCTCCGACCGACCACCGTACCCCCTCACACCACCCGCACTCGGTCGAAGGACAAGCAGTGGCTGGATGCCGTGGAACTGGCAGCGTCAGGAACTCCCTCGGGACGACCCTCTGGCGTATGGAAGGGAGCCAAGTGATGTGAGAAACAGATCAAGGGCTTCAGGTTTTGATCTAGGCGATCGCTAGAAGAATCCCTGGAGGACAAAATCTGTGATATGATGGCGATGATTCATGGCGTTTGGGCAACATGGTAGATGGTATTCTGCTAGGCTTCACAGGTACACTGAAGCTGTGTATATTTGGTATCCCAATTCATGAGTACGAGTAGGACTAGTCGTCCTGGTGATGTTACAACTTATGTGTACAGCCACGTCTGGCTTGCGTGAGGTTCTATGCCTGATTTCCCTGAGATTGGGTCTATTCCCTTCCAACTATATGACTCCCGGCGTGACTCAAGCCCACTTACAACTTCACCTCCTTGT